ACGGAAAGAGGGACTATGGTTTTGAAACCTAAAGCTGGCCAGGGTCCTAGCAGGAGGGCTCTCTTGAAAGAGTTTAGAGGGCAGGGATCCTGTTACTCAAAACTAGAGGTTCAAAAAAATGAGTACTCACCAGAAAGGACAAAGCCTTTAAACAGATCCCGAGGGGTGCCTGGGTGGCTCCGTCGGTGAAGCGTCTGCCTTGGGCTTAGGTCATGATCCCAGGGTCCTGGGATGGAGTCCCACGTCAGGCTCCCTGGTCAGTGGAGAGTCTGCTTCTCCCTCTCCCTCTGCCCCTTGCTCTCTCTCTCTCTCTCTCAAATAAGTAACATCTTTAAAAAAATAAAAATAAAAATAAATAAACAGATCCTGAATCAAGCTGGAGCACTCAAAGTGCATGGGGCATAGTGCTTGGATCTGGGAGAGACTTGCCCTCAATCTCCAGGGCCCACAACAGAGCAGTGAGGTCAATGGGCTCTGTGGGCATGGGCATCTGTTTGCTCACCCAGCCTTAGAGCTGTTGGGAGTCTTCTCTGGATCCCACCTCTGATCACCAAGTAACATAAACCTTAAAAATAAGACAGCCCTGGGGCGCCCAGGTGGCTCAGTGGGGTAAGCACCTGACTCTTGATCTCAGCTCGGGTCTTGATCTCAGGGTCGTGAGTTTGAACCCCATGTTGGGCTCCATGCTGGGTGTGGAGCCTACAAATAAATACATAAATACAAGACAGCCAGTTATTTTACCATCAAAATGGATTTATTAAAGAATAGCAAAGAATTGCAATTTGGGACAAGCAAGCTATGGTAGAAGCACAACAAGGCCAGGGAACAAAAGAGAGGAACACTGTAGAGAAAAAGGAGGGAGTAGGGAAGGGTTGCTCTGAAAGAAAGTCTGTTGGAAGAAAGGAGAGCTCAGAGTGATGGCAGTTTCTCATCGACTGGGCTGTTGCTGGTTGAGGAGAAAAATCTCCCTTCCTCCTGCTGGGACAGTTGCGTATAGGCTTTTTCCTACCAGAAATGTAAGGTCCTTCTCTTCTACCCCGGGTGCCATTGATGACCCACGGTTGGGCATGAGAGCTCCCCCTTCTGGCCTCCCAGCTCCATTTTTAAAAATTATTTTATTTGCTTGTTTTTATTTATTTTATTTTTTCTAAGTAGGCTCCTTGCCAGCGTGGAGCCTATTGTGGGGCTTGAACTCACAACTCTGAGGTCAAGACCTGAGCTGAGATCAAAAGTCACATGTTCAACTGACTGAGCCACCCAAGCACCCCTTAATTTTTTAAAAGCTTTTTTAATTTAAGTAATCTGTACACCCAGCATGGGGTTCGAACTCATGACCAGGAGATCAAGAGTTGCATGCTCTTACGAATGAGCAAGCCCCAGGTACCCTCCAACTCCATGTTAAATGAGGTGTCCTTGGGGTGTCTGGGTGGCTTAGTCTGTTGGGCATCTGACTCTTGGTTTCGGCTCAGGTCATGATCCCGGGGTCATCAGATGGAGCCCTGTGTCAGGCTCAGCCTCAGTGTGGAATCTGCTTGAGAGTCTCTCTCTCCCTCTGCCCCTCCCCCCCAATAAATAAAGTCTTAAAAAATAGATGAGGTGTCCTTTATGCAGTTCCGCACCTTGCACGTAGACACTTGCTCCCACAGACAGACACAGACAAGCGCTCACGCACACGCTCACACTCCAAACTTGGTTTCTCACACCCATACCACTTTCATGGCTCTTGTCATAGTCATGTCCCTGATGCTGTCTACTAGCCAACTTCCTCTAAATTTCCTTACTTCTTCAACGAAAACATGCTTATTTAATTTTTTAAAAATATTTTATTTATTTGACAGAGAGAGAGCACAAACAGGGGGAGAGGGAGAAGCAGACTCCCCGCGGAGCAAGGAGCCCAATGCAGGACTCAGTCCCAGGACCCTGGGATCATGACCTGAGCCGAAGGCAGACACTTAACTGACTGAGCCACCCAGGTGCCCCTGTACGTTACATTTCATGACTTATTTTATAACTTGAAGTCTGTACCTTTTGACCCCCTTCACCCATTTTGTCCACCCTCCATCGTAGGGTTTTATTACTATTCTGTGTATTTGATTCCCCTCTTACTAGGGCTCAGCTCTTTTTCTACCTTTTTTGTCACACCTTTCTATATTGTTCCAGTTCCTCTGTGGCCACAACTTTGTGAACTCTTAGATTCTATCTCATTAAATTATTTTAGGATTATTTTTATCTTTGAATAGATTTAAGTATTCCATGAGCAAGGAGTTTTGACTTCTACTTTATATCTTTTTTTTTTAAGATTTTATTTATTTATTTGACAGAGAAAGCACAAGTGGGGGAAGGGGCAGAAGGAGAGGGAGAAGCAGGCTCCCCGCTGAGCAAGGATCCCGACGCAGGACTCAGTCCCAGGACCCTGGGATCATGACCTGAGCCAAAGGCAGACACTTAACCGACTGAGCCGCCCAGGCACCCAAAACATGCTTATTTTAAATAGAGCCTGTTTCACTTCCATAAGTGGGAACAGGCACCACTTGTTAACAAGTAAAAGATCACTAAAAATAATGACAATGAGAATGCTATTTTTTTTTAGTCTATCTGGATGAAGGGGCACCGGACCCTCCCTTTTCACAAGTAACATTAGCAAGTGCTAGGCATTTCTCGCGCAATGGCACCAACTGAGCTGGGTCCTTCTGTGTCATCAAGATTGAGGACAATTGCAAAGCATTTCAGCCTGAGTTTCAGTGCTATTTAACCCCATCTGTCCTCCTCAGAAACCCCTTGCCCATGGCTCGGGCCCTACTCTGGGACCCCTGACGGCAGTGATGGAGGGCACAGCTGGGGGGTGGGGTCTCCAGGCAGCTTTTCCTAAAGACCCCTCCTGCAGGGCCAGCGGAGTAAGCTGAGGCTTCAGGGAGCAGGACCTCAGACTGGGGCTGGCCTGGGCTGGGTCCTCCGGAAGCTCTCCAAACACATCAAGGTGGAAGATTCTGGACTTGGTGTCTATAGGGAAGGAAGCCTCAAGGGAGCCTGAGGGGTCACTCCTTCCCTGAGATGGGGACCAGGGCGGAGAGGCAGCCTTTGGGAGGACACCGTGTCCTCTCTTGGGTCTAGTGAGTCCAGGTGTCCGTGAGACTCGAGGGTGGGGGTGGGAGGTTGTGCCAAGGAGTCAGGAAGAAAACCCACAGAGGAGCTCAGCAGAATGATGGGATCAGGAGAACTGGGTTCTCCTTTTTTTCTCCAGTGTCCCTGTTTTTCTTCCTCTCTGACTGTCCCCCTCCCCCAGCCAGAACAGTGATTCTTTAGGGGTGATAAGAAGCTTGATAAACACCACCAGGGACACCTGGGTGGCTCTGTCCGTTAAGCGTCTGCCTTCGGGTCCTGGGATCAAGTCCCCCATCAGGCTCCCTGCTCAGCGGGGAGCCTGCTTCTCCCTCTGCCTGCCGCTCCCCCTGCTTGTGCTCGCTCCCTCGCTCTCTCGCTCTCTTTCTCATGCGCTCTCTCTGACAAATAAATAAATAAAATATTAAAAAAAAAAAAACCACCGCCGATATATAAGATAACTTTACGTGTGGACAATAAAACAATCATTTCCTCACTGCCCCTTGGCAGGTAGAGCAGAGGGGTGGCACCCTCCAGGACTGTCCCTGCCAGAGGTGGGACAAAGGACAAGCACTGCTCTGGGGCAAAAGATCTGGCCCATGGGAAGCTGAGCCAGGTCACCGTCAGCACGTGGTGCCTGGGCTTTAGAACCTTTCCTTTCTGGCCCATGGGCCTGGGCTTCAGGTCTCTGCCCCCACCCCCACCACCAGATTTCTTCCATGGGGTCCCGCCAATGCCCTCTTTATCCCTTAACACACAAAACTCCTTTCTTCTATTTCTTCCAGAAGAGCTAGATTTGCTTATTTGACCTGAGCTACAAGCAACCTGAAATTTGCCTTCCAGTGCCAGGTAGTCAAAAAGCAAAAAAAAAAAGCAAAGAGCAAAATAAATCATGCTACAAAAAGCAAAGAAAAATAAAGCAAAGGGCGCCTGGGTGGCTCAGTCGTTAACATCTGCCTTCAGCTCAGGTCATGATCCCAGGGTCCTGGGATCGAGCCCCGCATCGGGCTCCCTGCTTGGCAGGAAGCCTGCTTCTCCCTCTCCCCGTCCCCCTGCCTGTGTTCCCTCTCTCGCTGTGTCTCTCTCTGTCAAATAAATAAATCTTTAAAAAATAAATAAATAAATAAAATAAAGCAAAGACACAGTTGCAATTTTATATCAAAAACAGTAGGAACAGTCCCTTCCTGCTATATTCCCTCCTTGCAGCAAGCTCCAGAGCCAAGCCCCACCAAAGACTCCCCCTCTCCAGAGACACACTCACACCCATGCTCCCAGCCTTTCACACACTCGCTGTCTCACACCCTCACACACACACACACACACACACCTCCTAGGGACTGGGATCTCACCAGACAGCACAGTGGCTTTCTCTGAGCTCTCCAGGGCCTCACAGGGACAGCCAGACCTCAGGGTCTTCCTGTGGAGACAGGGGCCTGCGGCTGGGCTACTAAAGTAGGGGGCAAGATGGGGAGGGGTGGCTCTGGCTGGTGTCTCTCCTCCTCCCCACCCCCCCCGCTGCTACCCCAGTTCTGCGTCCCCTTCCCACCTCTCCGAGTGGACACTAGCCCAACTCAACCTCCCCGCTTGCCCTGGGGTGTGCGAAAGCAATCGCCTACCCCCACGATCCATCCCTGAGCCCTGTGAACCGTAAGAGATTTCCAGAGTTCATTTTAAATGTGTCCAGTCCCTTTCTCCTCCCACAGCCTGGTCACATGGTGGTGCCGGGCTGTTCCTGTGTGCTCGACCTCAGGGGTTTGTGTGTGTGCACATGGGTTCCCAATTTCTAGTCCTCTATCATCACCCATCCATGCCAGGCCCCCCCACCCCGCCCCCATTTGTGTGCATTTACCTATGTGTGTATGTGCGTTTATGTTCTCACATTCCCCTTTCATTTCCTGCAGGTGGGTTCGCCGGGATCTGGGCACACTTGATCCGCGTGGGGAGAGCCAGCCCACCAGCCCACTGCATGCTCCCTGCTATTCTGCTGCTCTTCAGACTCAGTCTGTCCAGCCCCACGAGCCCCCCCACCATGTGACCCTAGAGGCTCTGGAACATGCGCCAGTCCGACAGGTATAAGGTGATGTGCCGTTGTTTTCAGTTGCACGTCTCTTGTCTCTTGTTAGGAAGGTTTTCCCCTTGCGGAAATCGCCCCTTCCTATCCTGTTCTCCATTGGCTTCGCTGCCCTGCTATCTGTTGCTTTGCAGTTCTTCCTTTATTCTAAATATTAGTGTCTCGTTGATTGGGGACATTACAGATACCTTACCTACTGTGCCAACGCTTTTAACTCCAAGGGGCCTTTCAATGGACAGAACCCCTTAATTTTGGAGTAATCAGATTCATCAGGAGGTATTTTGGGGGTAAGGGATGGGGGGAGGCTTATGTTATGTGCTTTTGAAACTTGGTTTAAAGGTCTGCCCTGGATCACAGTATTTTCCTCTGCTCTCTGCTTTAAGCTTTGTCAATGAGCTTTCACACTGACACCGTGAATCCATCTAGAGGCCATTCTGTATGTGGTGTTAGGAAGGAATCCGGTTTTCTTTTTCTCCACAAAAAGACCCCCCGTCCCCTATAGCATCTACTGAACAGTCTGATTGACATGTTAAACTCCCATAGGCATTGGGCCTGTCTTTCTGGTCTCTGTTCTCTTCCATTGTCTGCCTCTTGCTGTGGCAGTACTGTATTCTTTTTTAAGATTTTATTTATTTATTCGAGAGAGACAGAGAGAGCACAAGCAGAGGGAGAGGGAGAAGCAGACTCCCTGCTGCGCAGGGATTCCGATTCTGGACTCGATCCCAGAACCCTGAGATCAGGACCTGAGCTGAAGGCAGATGCTTAACTGACTGAGCCACCCAGGCGTCCCAGTACTGCATTTTTTTTATTATTATAATTACTATGGTTTTACAAATCAGGTAGGGAAAAACACACCCTCCAGCTTCTTTTTTTTTTTTTTAAGTTTTCTTAGTTATTTGTGGATCTCCATTCATCTATAAAAATTCTATTGCACACTTATAAAATTTCTTCCAAAAATACAACTGGAATTTTGATTAGGATTGCCTTACATTTAAAGAGAAGCTAAATTAAATTTGGAGAGAACTTATGTCTTCATAACTTTGTCATCCTACTCTACATTATGGTCTATTTCTCTATTTATTCAGATTTGCTTTTCTGTCTTTATTAAAGTCTTCTACCAAGAGGTCTTACATATTCTTGTATGTTCAGCGTACTTCATATCTTGCTGCTGCGAATATCTCATTTTTCAGTTGGGTATCGGAGATGTAGAGATACACCGAAAGTACAATGGGTCTGGTAGGTTTATATCTAGCAATGTTGCTGGAATCTCTTACTGACTCCAGTAGTTAATGTGTTGATTTCCAAGGCTCTTCTAAGAAAATGATCATGGCAATTAATGAGAATTTTATCTCCTCCCTTCTAACCCTTACACCTTTTATTGCTTTTTCTTTCTTTATCACATGGGCATGGGTCTCCAGAATGATGCTAAATCATAGTATCTTGTTTCTGATCTTAACGGGACAGGGACATCATGGGCATGAATGAAAACATGGGACACCTGTATCTGCACCCCCATCTCTCTCATGGCTCGGCTGACCGTTCCCTGGATCATGGTGTCTGGGCTGGGGGCTGAGGGCCATTATGCATAATAATTGTTGTGGATTTTTGGCATGGAAACTGCATCAAATTCAACAAGTTCCCTTCTCTTTCTAGCTTAGTAAGAATTTGTACCATAAGTAACAAATCTATCAGGTGCTTTGTCTACATTGTCTGATGCTACCGCATGCTCTTTCTTACTTATTTTTATCAGTGTGCAGAGTTATATTGATAAATTTCCTAATGAATTCCTGGAATAAGACCTACTTGATCATGGTGTGTTATCTTAATACAATATAGTTTATTTTGTTTAGGACTTTAACATCTCTGTTCACGAATGAAGTGAGCAGGTCATTTTCTTTTTCATTTTGTTTTGTCCTTATCTGGTTTTCAGAATCAAAATTTCACTATCCTCATAAAATTTTCTGGGAAATGTTCCCCCTTTTTTCTATTATCTGGAATAGCTTATAAAAAATAGAAGTTATTCACATCTCCTCTTTTTCTTTCATTATTTTTGTCAGAAAAAATCTGCTATTTTATGAAGAACTAGCTTTTGGGTTTATTAATTTTCTAAATTGTCCTTTGGTTCTTGGAGCACCTGGGTGGCTCAGTCGGTTAAGCGTCTGCCTTCAGCTCAGATCATGATCCCAGGGTCTTGGGATCGAGCCCCGCATCGGGCTCCCTGCTCAGCGGGAGGCCTGCTTCTCCCTCTGCCTCTGCCTCTCCCCCTGCTTTGCTCTCTTGCTCACTTGCTCTCTCTCAAATAAATAAATAAAATCTTTAAAAAAAAATAAATTGTCTTTGGTTCTTATTTGCTATCTTCCTCTCATCTTTATGATTGCCATTACTTTTACAAATGTGCTGATATTTTCCCCCAACTTTATGATTTTAATGATCTACTCATTTATTTCAGACATTTCTATTTCCTGATAAATACAGTTAAAGCTGTACATTTTCCTCAAAGTACTTCTTAGCTATGTCCCACTGCTTTGAACACGTAATGCTTCTATTCATGCAAATATACATATGTTTCATTTCTCTTTATGATTTCCTCATCACCTCAAGGATTATTTCATGATGTATGACTTGGTTTCTAAATTTTTTTTAAAGATTTTATTTATTTACTTGAGAGAGAGAGAGAGCACAAGCGGGGTGAGGGTCAGAGGGAGAAGCAGACTCTCTGCTGAGCAGGGAATCGGATGTGGGACTCGATCCTAATCCTAGAACTCCGGATCATGACCTGAGCCCAAGGCAGACGCTTAACCAAATGAGCCACCCAGGAGTCCTGATTTGGTTTCTAAATTTTAAGAATTTTAAGCTACCCCAGTTTGAGTTGTAATTCTTAGATAATTGTGATCAATTTCAATTGGGAAAAACTTCCATCCCTGTTGTTTTTATTTCTAGTTTTATTACATTATGGCCAAAGAACACAATCAGTCTCATATCTACCCATTGTAATTTACTGAGATTTTATTTATGGTCTAGGTCATAGCTTATTTTTGTAAATGTTTAGAGATACTCCAAAAAAAAAAAGCGTTGACTTTCTATTGAGTGTAGATAATTGTTCACGCCATTGACATTAGTGTGTATTCCTTTTGTACGTTTGTTCTCTCCGTCTACGGGAGAGGTGCGGTATTACTGTTGTCTATCTGTGTCTCCCTACAGCTCCATCAGTGTGCACTTACCATCATGTAAAGCTATATTGTCAAGTGCATTTACCTTTGTGCTATATTTTATGAGTTTATAACATCTTTGTCCCTTGTGACTTTTAACCTTAAATTGTATTTTTTCACATAGTCAGTTAGTCACATAGTAAGATTCCTGCCTTGGCTTTCTTTTTATTCATGTTCACTTGGAATATCTTTCCTTAGCCTTTAGAAAAAAAATACTTCTGTACCTTTAAGAAAATGGAAGTGATTTATATTCAGGAAGATGTACCGATTTTAAGTATACAGTATGATGCATTGTGATAAATGTATGTACTCATGTAACCACTGGCCAATCAAGTCACAACACACCCATTACCTTGGAAGTCCCCTTGGGCACCTTCTCATTGATCCCCACCCTCTGTAAATAACCACTGCTTTTGATTTCTATCACCATAGATTAGTTTTGCTTTTCTCAAATATCCCATAAGTACAATCAATTAGTAAGTTTCTGGTTTCTTTCACTTAACATAACATCAAAAGATTTTTTATTGAGGGGTGACTGGGTGGCTCTTTCAGTTGAGTGTCTGACTCTTGGTTTCGACTCTGATCGGAATCTCCTGGTCGTGAGATCAAGCCCCATGTGGGGCTCTGTGCTCAGCACACAGAGTCTGCTTGGGCTTCTTTCCCTCTTCCTCTCCCTCCCTCTCTGCCCCCCCCCCGCTCCCCCCCCCGCCGCCATGTGCGCCCTCATACTCTCTCTCTCAAATAAATAAATAAATCTTTTTTAAAAAAAGATTTTTTATTGAGATATGGCTTACATTTAGTAAAAATTATCCTTTTTAGTATACAGTTCTATGAACTTGACAAAAGCCATTACTACAATGAAGATCGAGAACATTTCTATCATCCAAAAACTTCCTGTGTCCCTTTATAGTCAGCCCCTCCCCCTTCCTGTTGCCCTCAGCAGCCCCTGATCTGCTTTCTTACCCTAGGGTTTTGTCTTTTACAGAGTGCTACAGAAGAACTATAAGCATTTTAGAAGAACTAATAGCATTTGAGTCCGACTTTTTTCACTTAGCATGATGCATTTGAGATTCATCCGTGGTCTTGTATGTATCAATACTTCTTTCCTTTTTATTGCTGAATAGTATTGCATGGAATGGATGTACCACAGTTTGTCTATCTGTTTACCACCCAAAGGATATTTGGGGTTTGGGCAATTATGAATAAAGCTACCTTAATCATTTGCATGCAGGTTTTTTTTTTTTAAGTAATCTCTATTCCCAAGGTGGGGCTCGATCTCACAACCCTGAGATCAAAAGTCGCATGCTCCACGGACTGAGCCAGCCAGGCGCCCCTGCATGTGGGTTTTTAAATGAACATAAATTTTCATCTGCCTTGGGTAAAAAACAAGGGGAAGGATTTCTGCATCATCTGCCAAGCGTGTTTAACCTTGTAAAGTACTGCCAGACTGTTTGCCATTCCACATTCTCCACAAGGGTGCATGAGAATTGCATTTGCTCTCGGTCCTCGTCAGCACTAGGATTGTGAGCTTTGGACCGGCCGTTCCAAGAGATTTGCAGTGTTGTCTCGCTGTGATTTTTAATGTGCATTTCCCTAATGGGTAATGACATTGAACGTTCTTTCAACTTTCAGTCTCATTTGCCATGAATGTATCTTCTTTGTTGACTGTCTATTCAAATCTTCTGGCCGTTTTTAATTGGATTGTTCCTTTTATTACTGAGTTTTGAAAGTTTTTCATAAACTTTGGATATAGTCCATATTGGATAAGGCTTATAAATATTTTCTCCCAGTCTGTGGTTTGTCTTTTCACTTTCTTAACAGAGTTTGGTTTTTTATTAAGTTTTGAAGTTTTTAATTTTGATGAAGTAAAGAGACGCCTGGATGGCTCAGTCGGTTAAGTATCTGCCTTTGGCTCAGGTCATGATCCAAGGGTCCTGGGATGGAGTCCTGCATCCCGCTCCTTGCTCAGCGGGGAGTCTACTTCTCCTTCTGCCTGCCACTCCCCCTGCTTGTGCTCTCTCTCTCTGACAAATAAATAAATAAAATCATTTAAAAAAACTTTTTTAATGAGGTAAAATTTATCAGCTTTTAAATTGTGTGGATCATGGGGCACCTGGCCAGCTCAGTCGGTGGAGCATGCGACACTTGATCTCGGCATTCTGAATTCAAGCCCCATGTTGGGTGTAGAGATTACTTAAAAATAAAATCTTTAAAAAAAATTTATGGATCGTGGTTTTGGTGTTGTGTCTAAGAAATCTTTGTTTAATGCAAAAACCACAAGAATTATTTTATGCTTTCTTCTAGAAATTTTATAATTCGGGATTTCACATTTATGTCTGAGATCCATTTTGAATTTTATGTCTGATGTGAAACAGGAGTTGGAGTTCATCCTTTTGCATGTGGATGTCCAACTGTTCCAGCACCATTAGTTGAAAAGACGATCATCCTTTCTTCACTGGCTTGCTTTTGCAGCTTTATCAGATCCTTGGGGAAGCACACTGTCAGGGTGGGGGTGACTCCCAGGTTCTAATGTGTCCTCCTGGGGGCTTGTGGGGAGGTGCGGAAGGGAAAGCCTAAGGCCAGTGGTCTCTGCTCTTTTCCCCAGTGCCTCAGCCAACGGATGTCTTGCAGCCCCAATATAACTCTGGCGAAACCTGCACTACGGTCAGCATGGAGCAAAAACAGCCTCTCAGCAACACAAGGAGGGGTAAGAACCACACACAAAGTGCTTCCCTCTGGCATCTTGCTGTTGCCACCTCTGGTCATACTTGGTCCTGCCCACACATGTGTGAACACACACCTCCACCAACACACACACACACACACACACACACACACACACACCCCTACACGCAGACACATGCTACACACACGTGTCGCGTGTAACACACATGCACACATATGAACACACACCTGCACCCACATACACCTCCACGGATGCACACGTACGCCTGCACACACTACCAGACACACACACCGTATCAAAACAGCCATCGGTCTCCAGCAGGGGGCGTGTCTCCCTTTTTTGTCTAATTTTATTTTTTCCCCCAAATCCTCGCTTCTCTCTGCAGTTGCCTGGGGTTCATATCCGAGAGGGAGACGTTAGTGTGCTCATTCACCAGCAAGACCAAAGGCTGGCAGACTGTGGACCTCAGGCTTTTATAACGTTGCTTTTATAAATAAATAACTCCAGAAAGAGTTGACTTTCTGTTGGGTGTAGATAATTGTTCACACCACTGACATCAGGTGTGTATTCTTTTGTACATTTGTTCTCTCCGTCTACGAGAGAGGGGTGGTAGTGCCGTTGACCATCATGTAAAGCTATATTGTCAAGTGCACTTATCTTTGTCTGTGGTTTATTTTATGAGTTTTATGAGTTTGTTACATCTCTGTTTGTCCCTTGTGACTTTTAACCCTGAATTATATTTTTGTACATAGCAAGTTAAGATTCCAGAGGGTCAATCAACCTTACCAATTGGACCCTTAACCCCACTGTCCTTGTAGGGACAACTTCCCTCATCTTCCCCACTTGCCTGATGCCTCTCGCCAGCTGGTTGGTACCTTCCTGTTTTTTCTGCTGCCAGCCCATTTGCTCCCGTCCCCTCCCCCAGTCAGAGTGTAGGATCCTTCTGCTACCTTGTGGCAGGAGCTCTCTGTGACAGGTCTTCATTGCCACCGAGCATCTGCTGCCCGGACCACTGTTGGTACCAGCCATCAGAGCGTGGGCTCCCCAGGAAGCAGACTCTATGCCAGAGTTCGGCATGTGGGAAGTTCATTAGGAAGCACTCTTGGGGTTTACGCCTAGGGAAGAGAGAGGAAAGACAGGATTGGGTGGAGGGAGATATTGGGCTACAGTGGGGTGTCAATAGAAGCTCAGCCAACCCCACAGGAAAGGTAGAAGCTGGATGGTTCTGGAGGATTGTCTTGAGTTGGGACAAGGTTGTGCCTTTATGCTCCCGAGTCAACCAGTCATTGCATGTGGGCTGCCTGGGGGAAGGAGACATGACCTTGGGCGGGTGAATGTCTCCCAAAGCAATCCCAAAGAGGGCTGACAGCCCGGGGGTGTTTGCCACGAGCTTGTGCAAGAGCCGGGGAGTAACTCGGCTCAGGAGGGAATGGCTTCTGGCAATGAATGTAGCACAGGACCTTCCCAGCTAGGAGACATAAGAACAGAACAAGAAGGAATTCTTGGAAATTTAAAATGACTGCCAAGGGCGCCTGGGTGGCTCAGTCGTTAAGCGTCTGCCTTCAGCTCGGGTCATGATCCCGGAGTTCCGGGATCGAGTCCCACATCAGGCTCCCTGCTCGGTGGGAAACCTGCTTCTCCCTCTCCCACTCTCCCTGCTTGTGTTCCTGCTCTCGCTATCTCTCTCTCTCTGTCAAATAAATAAAATATTAAAAAATAATAATAATAAAAAATAAAATAAAATAATAAAATAAAATGACTGCCAAAAGGAGCGCCTGGCTGGCGCAATCCATGGAACACGCAACCCTTGATCTCAGGGTCATGATTCGAGCCCCACGCTGGGTGTAGAGGTTACTAAAAATAAATAAATAAACTTAAAAAAAAAAAAACCACCTCTTAAAACAAAACAAAACAAAAAGCCAAAATGACTGCCAAAATAAAAATCTACCCACGGACGCCTGGGTGGCTCAGTCGGTTAAGCGTCTGACTCTTGATCTCAGCTCAGGTTTTGATCTCAAGGTCATGATCTCTCCCAGCAGGACCCGGCACCCTGGGACCGATGCCTCCCATGGGCAGGGTCTCAGGGGGAGGCTCAAGGGGGGTGGCAGCCCCCAGATCAACACTACTTGCTGAGGGGCATGTTCAAGCCTTGGAGAGCCCCCAGATTGTCCTGTGCCCCTCTGTGGGGCGGGTCCAGCAGCCTGCAGCCGGGCAAAAGGAAAGGCGCCCTCGGCACCGCACTGAAAACCAGCCCCATTTCTGTGACTTCCCCGGGAGGCTGGTGGGCATCAGGTATGGGCTCACAGGTCGCTGCAAGTTGTTAATAACGGCTCGTTGCAGGACCAGGAGCTCCACTTCGTGGGTACGTGACAGCTCTTAAGAGCAGGCAGGCTGATGTGATCACCCTTGGCCCTGCCCTCCTCTCGAGCTAAATCCAGCATCACCCTGTGCCCACCAGTGACCTGCCATCTGCAGCATGACCAAGGATTTGGGCTCGGTTAGGGCAGCAAAGGCTAAGCCAGGGGCTTCACCCCAGCTCACCAGGGCATGAAGGGCTGATGGCTTAACCCAACCAACAGTTCCCCAGAGGGTTGAGAGGGCTGCTGGGGGGGGGGGGGGGTTGGGGGGTGCGTTGACCACACACATCCTTGAGGCATCCCCGCCTAAGCTGATAACCTGGACGGGTTCATTAAGCTGTTTAGCACTCCGAATAATCTTCCCAAACCTCCCAGAGTAACTGGAAACCCCAGAGGGGCTGTCATCACTAGCCTTGCTGGAGCAGGGCCAACTGGGGACACTGGGACTCTTCCAGGTCTGTGTCCCCTCAGTGCCAGAAGGCTGGTGTCGGCCGTGCTCCAGGGAAGGTGAGGGCCACAGGCACCAGAGATCCTCACGTTCCTTCAGACTGCAGCCAAAATAACCCTGTGCTCAGATACACCGAACCTCGGCAAGGCTATCCGGGGTCCTGGCTGCGCCCTACCTGCTCTGCTGAACACCTGGGAGAACGAGATCGGGGTCCTTAGTGGACTAGCCCTTCGGTGACTCAGCAGTCACGAAAGCACTTCCTGGCACTCACATTATAGTCCCCATCTGGGGCATTTGCGGCAAGAGCCCGGTGTCAGGCCCTCGCTCCTCCACACTCTCAGAGACCTTGGTCCTGCTACTTAGAACCTTCGTGCAGAGTGCGGACTGGCAGCTGTGAGGCCGACAGAGAGGCTACTTGGCACGCAGCGAGCGCTCTGAGAGCCAACGGTCGTTCATGCTCTGCCCGCGCAGTCCTGGGGGCCGCGGAGGACACCGACCAGATCGGAGGGAAGGTGGTCAGAGACCACTGGGCTAGTTTAGGACCCACATCTTTTTTTTTTTTTTTTTTAAGATTTTATTTATTTATTCATGAGAGACAGAGAGAGAGAGAGAGAAGCAGGCTCCCAAGGAGCAGGGAGCCCGATGCGGGACTCGATCCCAGGACCCTGGGATCACGACCTGAGCCGAAGGCAGACGCTTAACCATCTGAGCCACCCAGGCGCCCAGGACCCACATCTTTGGCCCTCCCCATTTCCCCTGGGATATTCCCAGATGCCTTTCTAATCCCAGGATCTCTGCTTCCCGAGTCTGGCTCAAGGGAGGGAACACCGCACCTGAGCTGTCCCTACAACTACCAGGGGACCTGATGAGTTCCAACTCAGCCAAGGACTTGTCTCGTGGGGGTCCTGAGGCAGTAGAGCGCCCCTCTCTAGCTCGGGGCCCCGGACCCAGTCCTGGCTGCTCCCAAACCAGATCGCAAGGTTCTGATGCCTTCCTGAGGCAAAAGCAGGGAGGGCGGCCGGAACGGCGCATCTCAGGAAGAACCTCTGCTGAGAACAGCCGGAGGATGGTGCGAAGAGCAGCAGGGCACCTCCTCTTTCAACAGATGTTTCTTGAGCACCTAAGCACCAGGCACTGAGTTCGTGGGGCTGTGGATTCAGCAGGGAGCAAGACAAAGTCCCTGGCTCATGGACCTTGCCCTATATCTATCTCCCTGTGCATTGGAAGATTGCACCAATAAATGCCCATAAGAATAGTAAGTGTGGGGGCACCTGGGTGGCTCAGCCGGTGAAGCGTCAGCCTAGTTAAGCATCTCCCTTCGGCTCAGGTCATGATCTCAGGGTCCTGGGATCGAACCTCCCCCTCAAATCAGGCTTCCTGCTCAGTGGAGAGTCTACTTCTCCCTTTCCTGCTGCCCCTCCCCCCAATTCATGCAAGAACACTCTCTCTCTCAAATAAATAAAGTCTTTTAAAAAATAAAAAATAAATTTAATAAATTTTTTAAAAAAGAATAGTTAAGTGTATCACTTACTCCCCTTCTCCATGTCAGAAAAACTCACAAAAAGTATTACTATCCCTACTCCTGCTGTCTTAGGCTGGGTCTCCCCACAAGGAAGAGCCTGAGACCAGGCTTTGCATGGGGCAGCTTTTTTGGGGTGTGGTCCCGGTAGCAGAGGGCTGGGGAGCGTGGCGCAGGGGAGAGTGGGGCGGGCCTGAGCATGAGCCTGAAGTCAGAAGCATCCACCAGCTCGCAGCTGACTGAGTCAGTAAATGATTATTTCCCGTGGCTCACAACCAAAATCATCCTAACACAAATGGAACGGAGTTAGCCCTGCCACTCCTGCGCTGGTGACATCTTTGCTGGTGCCACGGGGTGCTCGTTGGAGTGTGGGGCAACCCGCACCGTTAACCCTGGAGCGTGACACCACAGGTGGGAGTGGGGCTTAGGCAGGGACCTCCCGGAGCTTCTCTAAGGGCCAGTATAGAAAACAACTGGAATAAACCAGTTACAGCGTAGCCAGTTTCCCTCCCCAGCCCCGCGGTTCCTTAAGTAACTGGTGAAATGCAATTGGCCCCACCCCCTGGAGTACTCAAGAGGAAGAAAAAAGAACCTGTTGATAGAACGCTGGCCTCTCTTTGCCAAGGGCTCTTGCAAGGCGGATTCACTAGAAGTCCTTGTCAATTGAAAGTCAGAAATTCCAAGCCGAATGCTGCATGGAGTCTTGCTGTGTGTTGACAAGTGACTTACTTTATCATCTACATTGTAAACCCTAAGCCTAGGGGGTTTACTTACCTCCCAAGCCTCCCAAGCAGCTACGGCTCAGAGAACCCCCTTTCCCTGGCTGGAACTGGGAGGGGAGAGGACAACACCCTCAGAGTGACAGAGACAGCCGGAAGGAGCTAAGGTCCCTGACACCATGGAGAGCGGACACCAGCCCTGTCCAGAGGGCACTGGACTTTCTGCTGAGTGAAAAAACCTCACTCATAGAGGCTGCTGTTCCTTGGAGACTTTGTAACCTCAGTTGAACTTCCATTTAATTAATACCCCAACTGAAGCAAGAATGGGAACTGCAGGGGCGTCTGGGTGGCTCAGTCGTCTGCCTTCAGCTCAGGTCACCATCCCAGCGTCCTGGAATCAAGCCCCGCGTAGGGCTCCCTGCTCAGCAGGAAGCCTGCTTCTCCCTCTCCCACTCCCCCTACTTGTGTTCCCTCTCTCG